ATATATACACATATATATACGTGTATATTGAGATATACACATATATATATATGTATATATATATATATATATATGCTTATCACATATTATTCAGGGCAGGTCACCTCAATAATACTCAATCATTCTCCTGCTACACTTCTGGTTAAGTGGCATGATGTGGTTAATAAGGTGAGAAAAGATACAGCTGCAGATGCAGATAAAGACCTCTACCAAAAAGTTAGCAGTTTCCTGAAAAGACCTGAAAACAACAACACTGCATATTAAAAACGGTGCAATAGTGCAATGCATCTGAAAACAGCCTTGTTTATATTAGCAACACAGCCAGAGTCAAGCTGCAACGGAAACAGGAACTTCACACAAAGAAGGTTGGCTAAAAAAAAACAAAAACACTTCATCAGTTGCCCGAAGCTGTTTGTATGTTGCCTAATGCAAAGAACTCTTCAGTCAAGGAAAATGTTCACGTTTTCATACCATACATTTAAAGGTGATGTTAAAGAGAGACTATCAATGAGATTGCAGCTGATGCAGGAGGTGGGACGTGCTCAGATGTGGCGGCAGCTGGCATGGCTCTCATTCAGAGCTCTTTACTGTGTCCGAGACCCCAGAGAGAGGGAAGCCACCGGCAGCTGCAGCTCTCACTCACAAAGAGTTTTTTGAGGAGGTGTTCGTGGCAGCTGTACGAGGCTCCAATTCAATCAAGTCTCGGCAAAGAGGCAACATATCATTAAAAATCACTCCTCAGAAATAACCCTGCTGAAGCGTAATTTCCACCTTGGCATCTGAAGGTCTGATGCTGAATGGCAATTTTAGAAATGTGCAGGCCTTCATTTCAAACCCTAAATCTTGAATTTTTTTTCTTTTCTCCCTTATTTTGAACTGCCAATTTCAAACAGTGCACATCAACACGAAACGGATGAATGTAGATAAAAATTCAGGGAATGTTCACCCACATTCTTCAAATATATACAGTATATATGTGTGTGTGTGTGTGTGTGTGTGTATATATAACAGAAAAAAATTTATTTGTACAGGTTTGCAATAACTTGAGGGTGAGTAAATGATAGAATTTTCATTTTTGGGTGAACTACCCCTTTAATTATCATAAATGAAAATAAATGTAATCATTTAACATGCATTTTTAATATATTTTTTAATTATTTAAAGGTGTCCTATTATGCTCTTTTACAAAGTCTTGATTTTGTTTTGGGGGTGTACTAGAACAGGCTCTCATACTAGGTTGTTCAAAAAACACATTATTTTCCCCATATTTTACATTATTACAACACCTCTCTCCCCAGTCTGGCATGAACGGCTCGAAT